GATCAGCCATAACATTATGACCACCCATGACCCTGTCTCTGGTTCACCACTTTTGATAGGTACTGACCACTGCAGATCAGGAACACCCCACAAGAGCTGTAGTTTTGGAGATGCTCTGACCAAGTCCAACAAGCCTATTTTTTCTGCTTCTAACACATCAAGTTGAAGACAAAATGTTCACCTGATGCCGAATATATCCCACCCACTGATAGGTGCAATGATAAGCAGATAATCAGTGTTATTCACTTCACCTGTCAGTGGTCTTGTGTTATGGCTGACTGGTGTATGTGAATGCACTGAAGCATCCTGAGAAAAAATTACATACTTCTTGAGTATTGGTGATTCAGTTCTGGACCAGCTGAAAACTCCATCCACTATGGAGACACTGTGTGGGGCTGAGAGGAAGAAAGAAGAGATGTACTAATAGACTGCATGTGAAATACCTCCATGTACATACGTACAAAGCACAGGGGATTGTACAATTCTTGGAGAAGAAGAGGGTGGGCACAACAGACAGCAACAGAAAGAAAACCAAAGACTCACAGCCTGCTACTGCTTTGTGCTCCACACTGTTTTCCTGCAGCTCCTCATGTGATAGAAACACTCTCAGGCGCTTCAAGGACACACTGGCCTGACAACAGACAGAGGGAGGAAACCCCACAAGAACCGGGAGTGGGAGGTTAAGTTAAAATTTTAGTTCTGCCCACACTGAAACCCCAAAACAATAGAAGGACAGTTTAACTTTTCTCCTTTACCCTCAACAGTATCAAATCCTTGCTAAATCTTACCAACCTCATGCCTCTCGACGCCCTAAGCTTACAGCAGAGGTATAGCTCCATGCTACCATACACTCATCAACAAACTCCCCAGTTTGAATGAAGTGCAGCTAGATAAAAGGTATCTAGGTATTTAAAAGCGGGATAGAGACATCAGCTGCTTTATTATAACATAATAATATATATAACACTAGCCAATAACAATTTTAGATAAGATTTGCCGTCATTAAGGAGATATGTTTTAACATTTAGAAAAGAAGATGGTGACTGAGGAAATTTAGCTAAATGTTTACAGCAGGATTTATGAGGGTTATAGTACAGGGCTCCAAAGTACCACCTTCCCAAAACTCATAAAGGGGAGTGCTAACATTGTTGCACAACAGCCACACTGACAATGCTGCCTGCAGACATTTTTTTTGGTTTATTGGCCAGTGTCAATTATGTCAAAAAGATAACTGATTAATCGGTCTATCTATAGCTTTGAGCAGCACCTTAATTCCATTCACCTCCACTCTGGTAGAGGTAGAAATCTCAAAGTTTGATTTCAGCCCTTAAAGACATTCTGAGTTCTGCACTGGATTTAGTCCTGTGTGTGTCATTTCACCTAAAGAGCCAATTTCTCCATTGATGGGCTAACCAGAATGTTTTTATAATACTGGAAATGAGACTTGTAGAGATCTAGGTATTGCTATTTATATCTCTCCTGCTTGCTCTGACAGAAGGCCTTCATTTTAAGCGAGGTTAAGGTCTTTCTTTGCCACACCTTCTAGTTCTACGACCATACCGTATTTCTTACTACTTGATAATCAAACATAAAAAAAGCAATGCTATCCAGCAGAACAGTGGAGACAAGTGATGGTGACTGATCATGAAAGTGGAGGCACACTAACCTGCACCATGCTACTGATGACCATTGGCAGCATGTTGAGAGGAAAACGGAGAATGTTGAAGAGTGCCAGTGACACAAAGGCCTTCTGGGCATCGAGCACGTTGTGTTCGTCAATCAGCACGTACACAGTGAAAGTGGAGAGGGCAACCTGTGGAGTGGCCCAGCGGAAGTGAGAAAGTAATGGGATTACAGCTCTTTTTAATTTATTCTGATGATATACATTGTTTTTATTTGCAATATAGTTAAATAGTTATAGTAAAGAGTAAATTATGTTTAGACACTCTGTGACACTTAATGCTCTTGTCATTTTGTCACCTTGTCCAGTCTGTATAGATGCTGGGGATGGCTTGGGTGTCTGTGCTAGCTAAACAACATGATGAGGTTCTGTATAATTTTGAAAGCAACTATAGACTTCTTTGGACTCACAAGGAAAGGTGCACAGACCCAAGTGAAGGTGGACATTGCACCCAGATAGGCGGCCTTCTTCAAGACTCGCAGCTCACTCTCACGAATTTCAGACACCTTGTCCTTGAAGGCCAGCTCCCAGGCGTACAGTTTCAGCACCTTGATGCCATTTAGCATCTCATTCATCAGCTTAATGCGATTGTCCTTACTCTTCATCTGAGCCACCTGCTCAACACAAACATGCACAAAGTATTTAAAGAGAAACAAATCATAAAATCTTCACATGCACATTTTGTTGGTCGGTTCTGTATATATACGACATCTATTGCATGTCATTCCGTTCCATTTTAAGCATGTCCTAAATAGGAGGGTGTAAGGACACGTGGTGTCATATTTGTACAGACTGTAAAGACCCTTGAGGAGAATTGTGATTTGTGATTTTGGAATATATATAAATAAAATTTTACTTGACAATACTACAAACTGACAGCTTGGTTAGGTAGGGTCTCTGTGTATATGAATGTAAACTAGAATTACCGCCCCATGGTTGTTTGTCTACATACAATATAGTATGTTGCATATGCCCATTTGAGCTATCTGAAAATTAAAACGACTGGGAAAGGCCAATAACGTAGTCATAAAGGCTTGGCTAAGAAAAAGGGAATAAAGATGTTTGTCTGTGTCCCACCTGGTATGTTTTGGTTTTCATGGCAATGACGGCATTAACAGGAACCATCAGAACCATCACAGCCACTCCAGCTAGCACGGATGGACCCAGGTTCTGCACAGCAATAGATAAAAACATAAAAACATTTCCACCAACATTTTACAGGGTTATGTTAGGATAAGCACTCATGTTCACTTAAACTATTTCAGAAAGTAAAGTAACAAAATATTATAGTTTTGGTATCGGTATGGTTTGCCGTGTTTATGTTACCTCTCAAATGTGCTCATGTGAGACTACCTCGGCATAGAGATTATGTTGGTTATGATGGTTAACTTGGACCTGTATGACAGTCTGTAGTTGCTCTGTAATCCTACCTGCCAGAGAAAGTAAAGGGCCAGCACCACCTGCAGAGGGGCAGACCATATCATGTTGATGTAAGTGATGAGGTCCATGAAGCGCTGAGCATCCACTGACATCAGGTTGACAATCTCTCCCACCGTGGAGGTGCGGCGGGCTGCGCTGCTTATAACCAAAGCCTGAAAGAGAAGATCCAGGGAGGAAAAAGTCACCCAAAGTTATATTTTTGTACATATGCAGATTACTGCACTTTACTGCTTTGCACTTCTGGTTAAATGCTAACTGCATTTCGTGGTCTTGTACCTGTACCTGTAATGACAATAAAGTTGAATCTAATCTAATCTAATATACAAAAACAAGTGTTAAAAACAAAATGGTGGTTAGGTAGCAGCAATCAGTGTTTCTCAATCTTGGGCAGTGGGAGGATACAGCTATTGGAAAGAAGCTTTTTTTTCAGTGAGACTTTTCTGCTTTTTTTGTCCTATACCTTGGCAAACAGACAGTAAACAGGGTGGCAAGAGTCATGTAGTCCCAATGACTTGTTGAGGGGTCCCCAGGGCAGCTGCCGTACCACACAGTGCTGCAGTAGCTGAGGAGGCTCTTGGTGGTGTTAAAGGTTCACCAGTGGCTGCTGTGGGAGGTGGCACTGTTTAAGTTCCTAAGGAAGTATAGTCTCTGCTGGGCCTTCTTCACCTGGTGAGAGATGTTCGCAGTCTACGTAAGGTCTGTCCACCTCCTTTCAGAGGGCAGGGTGCTCAATTCTCCTCAATCTTCTGAAGTCTATCATCATCTCCTTGGTTTCTGTTGTGTTGAGGTCAGGTTGTTACCACTCAACCAGTTGTTGAACCTCATCCCTGTAGGCTGTTACATTTTTATTTGTTATCAGTCCTGGTGGTGTTGATGGTGCAAACTTGGCAATGGTGTTGGAGAGGTGAATGGGGGAGAGAGGGGAGTGGTCTGAGGAGTACACCTAAGGTGCTCCTCTGTTCAGGATCAGGGTTGAGGAGGACATTTTGGGGCCTGTTACTTAGCTTATTTAAGGCAGGTAGGGACTATATCCTGCTCTAGCCCGAGGTTAAAGATACAGTGAATACTGCTGCTAGTTGGTCTAGGTGTTCCGTCAGCTGATGTATCCTGTAGCTGTTCTAGCACTAGCCTAGCAATATCTTGCAGGGGCTCACTACTGTATTTTCATAGTCTTTACAATAAGCAGAGAAGAGACATTCTGACATCAATTTAAAGCAGCATTTCAAATTTGCCTGTACCTTCCTATAAACAGCTCCGATGATGGCGGTGCGCAGACGCATGCCTGAGACGAAGCAAACATGAAAATACTTCTGGAGGATGAGGGACTGCACACAGGTACAAATGAAGAGCAGAGCGGTGTAGAAGTACCCCTGCCAGGAGGGGGCACTAGAGTTGTTGACGAAGCGTATCAGCAGCCTAGACAGGATCAAGTAAAGAAAGTGAACATAATGGACATGTTTACACTGAGCCATAATTAAATCACTAACAAACTGTTGTTCATCCGCTCTTCAGAACAATTTTTTGAGCTGTGCTTAAAGTACGTCACTTAAATGGCTTCTTTCCTCTTTCAAAGGCAGCCAGCCTACAGATGTGACATAGGGCTGTAGATATCACCACCTATTCTGTGGTAGAAGAAAAAAATCTTTGGATATGAAGAAATGTATGTATTGTCAAGGAAAAGAAAGAAACCTCGGGGGCTCAGGGAGCTAGACTCCTGGCACACTTTGTGTGAGAAGGCTTAGGCTGTCTGGTAACAGGGCTGTGTACAGGCAAGAATCTGGCTATAGGATATATATCCTGATACAAGGTTATGATTCAACATATTGCAATATATTGCAATAATGTAAGCAAAGGCAGTACATTGTGAGTAAAATATGGATTTACATCATACAATAACATACGATACATCCCAAAAACAAAATATTGCGATACTGGCTTGCTATCCCTTGTGGTTAGCTTGTGCTGTATTTCATTATTGGTGTTAACGTGACAGCCCTATTTAAGATTTTGAAAGGTGCATATATGAATCTCAGATACATCAATGATATATTTTCATTTCATATAAATCAAATAATGCTATACAGCATTTTCATCTTCCTGAGTGTGTAAATGGGCGGCTGTGGCTCAGAGGCAGAGCGGGTCGTCCCATAATCAGAAGGTTGTTGGTTCGATCCCTGGCTCCTCCTTTCACATGTCGAAGTATCCTTGAGCACGATACTGAACCCCAAATTACTCCCAATTTTCAATGTGTATGAATGAGTTAGTTTCTGTTCAATGGGCTTTGCCATCACTGAGTGAATGTGTGAAAGGGTGAGCATGTAGTATAAAAGCGCTTTGAGTGGTTGGAAGACTAGAAAGGCGCTATACAAGTACAGGTACATATACCATTTACCATATATGTTTGAGATAAACTGTGGTTTCATACCGGAGGATCTCAGGCCCAACAAACATGAGGATGTCCTGGATGATTTTATAGAGGCAGGAGATGAGGAAGTAGGGCCCGAAGGTCAGGCACAGTGCCCAGAGCAGGGAGGGCTCCTTTGTTTTTTGGGGGTTTTTCACAATCAAGATTTCAGACTCTTCCACAGCACGGCCATCTTTGTCCTCACTGTGCGGGACCTGCTTGGGGGAATACAAAGTTTTCTCCTCTACCCTGGGAGAAGGAAGGAAAGGTAGACTGCTTCAATGAAATCTTCTATCTTCCATTGAGTGGTGAACCTTTTCACCACTCAATGGCCCTCTAATAATTGTAGTTCATTTCCATCAGAAAGAAATTGAATCAAAAGTAAAAATTAGAGTTATTACAATTTGGTTAAGACTTAAGACAGAATCTGCTAATCAAAACCAACAAATCAACACATATACTCTATCCAGAACTTTGTGTACGCAGTTATACTGTACAAAGGAAAAGCTAAATATTGCTGTTCCCATATGTATCAAATCTGGTGGGTATCTAGCAGGTGCAGGTGGCTTTATCGTTTAACAATGATGAACATTTTTGTATATATTTTCTAGCCATAGTCTTTTCCTGCTGTACTGAACTCCTGACCTTTTGACCTTTTGGCACTCTGCATTCCAGCGACACACCAGCTGTGGAACCACTCTATGGGAGCGGTCCTCTGGGTTCAAAGACCACAGGTCCTTCTCCTCCAGTGGGTGCTTGTAACCTGTCATCATCATGCTAGTAGACACAAGAGGGGAGGGAGGAGGAGGAGGAGAGAAACATTTACGTCGAGAGACTTACACAAAGAATTTGGAATCTGAGAAACAGGAGGGTCAAATAAAGACAATATCAAAAAGCTAGAGGTCACAGATTGTATGTGATGTGAAGCTCAGTCACATGATGTAGGTACCACGATACACACCTCCATCACCAGTGTAGTTTGCACTCGCTTTTAGATGAACAACTGTGTTAGGGGTTAATGAATATGTTTTTGTGGGTAACACGTTCGTAATCAAGGGAACTGACAACCAATATACATTTGCAATAAAAACAAAAATCTTACAGTCAAAATTTACAGTGTAACTAGGTACATTTACTTAAATACTTGTTTTTAGATATTTAACTTTTCATTCATTTCCACTACATTTTGGAGGCACATTTAGTGCACATGATTCATTTGCTAAATTAGGCAATATACAGATTCACATTATAAACACAAAATATAACTCAACCAATAAATGATTATGTAATGTTATAGGGAAAAAAAAGGGCAAATAAATAATAAAATAAATAACATGACATATTGCAATAAGAAAAACACTCCTTACATAAATTGTGGTGAATTTCCATTATCGTGATCATGCTTTATACTGGAGACAAGCAACTAACCTTTACTCCTAATTTTTCCACATCTGCTTTCCCCACTGAATGATATGACACAGGAAAGCTTCAGTTTCACTTTGAACTCTCTTTGTGAATAGTAAATGGACTGTACTTATAAAGCGGCTTTCTAGTCTTTCGATCACTCAATGCACTGTACACTACTGCTACACCTTCACATGGCAACACTCCACCCCTTCACACACATTGTGGCAGTGGCTGCATGCAGGTGCAACTCTGCTCACTGATGACCTCTGACTCCACACACACAACACCGACACACACACCACACACACAGGACCAATTTTGGGTTCAGTGTCTTACCTCCAAGGACACTTCGACATGCAGCGAGACGATCGAAACGGCCAACTTCGATTAGTAGACGATCCGCTCTATCACTCCTGAGCCACAGCCGCCCATATTTTGTCAAAAAAAAATATACATAAAGACCAAAATTAGACCTATAAAAGAAACTCACGGTAATTAGGTGGAACGTGCAGCAAATAAGAAACTACAATGTATCCAGTATATAGAAGAGGTTCTTTTTGTACACAATAAGACAAAAGAAAAAGAGTGGAGATCAGTATCTGCTCTGTTACTCTACTCATCTGTTCATAGAAAGAGGAATACTTCACACCCGTGTGGGATAAAAAGTCTCACTCCTCTGACACTTCATATTTAAAAGAATATATTATATATAGTAATATATATATATATATATGATCTAAAATAATGCCTACTAATCCTATAACAATATTGATTTTTTTTTTCTCGAGGCTTTATTAAAACAACCTCACATGCTCCACAGGTAGACTGAAAAAGTTTTTGCTTAAGTGCATATTCAATTTCTCATCGATTATACTGACTATTTAATAGATTCTTCTTAACATGCTTTAAATGGAAGTGATGGGGACAAAATCCACAATCCTTCGTTCTGTGCAGAAACAATGATTCTAAAGTTTAGGCTGAGAGTTTTAATATAAACAAAATGTCTTGGACATCTCCAAATCTACAGCTGTGTAGTTCAGAATGTGGTCTCTGTGCTCAGAGGCAGAGGCGGGTCGTCCCAGCTAATCGGAAGGTGTTGTTCAATCACCACAGCTCACGTCCCCGCCATATTATGCAAGAGTATCCTTGAGAAGATACTGAACCCTGAATATGCTCCGTGAGTGTGGGTGTGAATTAAGGTTAGAATGAGTAGTTTCTGTTCGATGACTTTTGCCATCACTGAGTGAATGGGTGAATGGGTGGAATGTGGCACGTAGTGTGAAAGCGCTTTTGATGGTTGGAAGACTATAAAATGGTGCATACAAGTAACAGGTCCATTTACAATTGTCCTCTTCTTACTGAGCTGAGTAGGAAGAATTCTTACTACAAAAGAGGGGAAGTTCATACTGAAAAGACTAACATCTAAATACAAAATGACATGTTATTGTGTGCATTTCTTTGAATCTTCAAGGCAGCTAAAGGAAAGGAAACAAAGTTAAAAGATCTTTAAAAAAGGGCCCAGTGTGAAACTTTAAGGAGGATCCATTGCTATACAATGGAATAGCATATTCACTAAGGTATGTTTTATTTTATGTATGCCATATTATAATGCCTTGGAATCATACAAATGTTTGTGTTTTTTGTTACCTTAGAATGAGCCTTTTATATGTTTACAGAAGTAAGGTGTGGGGTCAGGAGGTAGAGCTAGCAGTATTCCACCTGAATCGGCAGGCTGGCAGTTCAATCCCCGTCTCCTTACCACCCCCCACATTTTTGTCACCAAGTGTCCTTTGAGGCAAGAACACCAAATTGCTCCCAAGTGCTGTGTATCAGGTATGAATGGACTGAATGACATGAGGGTGAGTTTCGTATTTGATGGGCTTTGCCATCACGAGATATAAATGGTGTGTAATGGACGTGAATGGGCATGTGTGTAAAAGTGCATTTTGAGTGAAAGCACAGTTCAGTACATTCTTCCAACAGTCTGTCCATTCAGTTTATATTTTATAGCGGCCAATTCATAACAGAATTATCTCAGGACACGTTCAAATAAGAGCAGGTCTAGGACCGAAGCTCCTTATAACATTTATGACAGAGACGCCAAACCCAGTTACCACCATGAGCCAAGCAGCTGGCGATGGGCCATGATGCATGTCTATACCAGAGGCAAAGTACCCCGGCTGGCGCATTCCCACTAAAAGTTGTTGTTTTTGCAGTTTTTGCCACTGACTCAGATTATTACTCCAAGTGTCTGGTAACATTATGGAAAGTATCCCCACAGAGATAGACCTTTAGTTTAACCAGAAACAGCTGTAATATCACTATAGCTCAAAACCAGACTCCATACACAAAAACCTCACGTATCATTGTAACATCATGTCTTCATTCACAGTGAACAGAATCAAAAGAGTCTTTGCTAGTCCTTCCACTGTTCCAACAATCACCAAGTCACCAACAACAATCACATCCTCACTACATCCACACTACAGGAAGATTAAACGTCTGCTTACTTTGTGATCCACCAGAAAGTTATTCTGGAGAGGAAAGAAGCTCCAAGCTCAGGGCAGGGATTCTGAAGACAAACACACATTACAGTTAGAGCCAAAAGATTTCTCTGCTGCTGACATACTGATCCAAGAATTAGGTTTTTATCCGCATTAAAAAGGTGTACATAGATAATATCAATCCATGTCATAACTCAAAGCTAAACACACAGACATAATAAACATATTTTTAGTTTAGTGTCCACAAATCTGCTTAGAAATTATAGAAACAAAGATGTTCGTTATAGATCTAACATGTTTTTAAGGTTTGAGTGGCGCAGTTGTCTCCATTAAGGATCAACCGATATGTTTTTTACAGGGACGATACAGATACAGTTTTATTAGTTATCAAGGAAAACCAATAACTGATATTTGGAACCAATATACTGTACATTTGCAGTGAAAAAGGAAAATCTGAGTGTCAAAATTTTAACAATTGCATTGAAATACTGAATATAAAATGTGGTTTATCAAACTAACATTTGCATTGTTTTACTGAACTTAACGTATAATCTTTAGTAATTATGCATAACTGATATCCTTTTAATGAATTGGGTTGTTGTTTTTTTAAGTCAAGAACCCCCCTCCAGTACTTCAGAGTACCCGAAGTAAGATTTTAAACACAGACTTTTACTTACTGTGATACACTGTAATATACTGATATACTGCATGGAAGTGTGCAGAAATCTTCACCTTAAGTTTGGACACATTCCAGCACTTGAGCTAAGATTTAGCCAGGTGGAGTGATTGTCATCCTGGATTTCTGCTATCGGATAAAAATAAATTACAAACTGATTATCAGAAAAGTGCTGAATATTGGATCTGATAATTGACTAGGCCAATAATCAGTCTATACGTAGTTTCGATTTGTCTGAGGGGGGCCAGCACTGTCAGAGTTTGAAAACAGCTGCTCTAGGAGCCCCATTAGAGGGTTCCACCTCTGTTCGTACAACTTTAATGATGAGACATAATTATCAAACTTGGCTCAGTGCAACATCAAACTGGGAATTCAAAAGTAAGGACTATCATTTTGTCCAAATCAACATTTACATTAAGTAAACATTAACAGAAAAATGTAGAAAGTTTCCACCACTTGATATAAATAAGTGACAGAGACTGAGAAAGAGGATCAGGAAGAGGAAGAGGAGGATTTACAGGATTTACAGTATGAGGTAGTCTCACCAAGTCTTTAACAGCCTGCGAGAAGAGGGGTGGCTGGTCCGTCAGGCAGGACAGGAACAGAGCAACCAGCAGCAGAGCATAGTAGATATAGAAGGTGGTGTACCTCCACACATACACTGTTGATAGCTTCAAATAAAACAAACCAGATCAAGCTTTTAACCCACAGAACTGGCTGCTGTAAGATATTGCTTTGTTTGTGGTACATTCACTATAATATTACTTCTTCTCAAGGTATATTCTTATGTGACAATAAGGTGTCATTTCAAGCCAGGCAGTTACATATTATATGTTATCCAGAGGTTTATTACAACTTATTTCACCCAAATCTAATTAAGTCATGCTTGTATTAGACTGACCTGGTCCTGGGCCTGCAGGAGCTTGGACCTGAAGGTTACTGTGGCACACAGCAGTGCCAGCAGCCAGTAGATCAGCATCACTCCAGACGACTGAGCCCCTTTCATCCGTTCGTACTGAATTAACATGGTGGCCAGCAACTGGAGCACACACACAATTTAAACACATTTATACATGGTTCTTGATATAACATACCAATATTACAAACACAACTTGACTATGATCCAGTACTGGTCTTCAGCTTTGCTATCAAATACAAATAAGGCATAAAAAAAGCATTTCTTGTTTACTGTGTGTAATTAAACTACACAAATAGATAACACTGGTCTAAGTTTCTCTTTAATCACAACTTCATGCACTGCAGATTAACAGATTATTTATATTACTATAATACTATATGTAACAATGCATAACCAAGATGGTTTTTGTGCCTAAACCGGACCAAACCATAACCACAGTAGTGTATCTGACTTTCCAAATAAAGTTTTACCATAAAAACTAGTATTTTCAGAAAACAAAGGTTAAAACTAAATAAATGTATTTAAAAAGGTCTGAGATGCGGGTGTTCTAGTACAGCATGTAGTGGCAAGTGAATTTCATATATATATAACCTATTAAAAAGGTCCAGTGTGTAGGATTTAGTAGCATCTATCAGTGTAGTTGCAGATCACAACTTACTTGCTTCACTCTCCCCTTCCAAGCATGAAAGATAAACCATGGTTGCTGAGAAATGTGTCCTATCTAGAGCCAGTGTAAATGGTAAATAGACTGTACTTATATAGCTGTACAGTACATGCCACACTCACCCCATTCACACACATTCATACACTGATCTGTAAACAGTTCTAGTTTGTCCCTTCTGGGCTACCATTGGATGATGGCAGACTATGGAAGGCAGCTTGCAGCATGTGAAGATAAAAATGGCTTATTCTAAGGTAACAAAAACACAACAATTCTTATTTTCAGGTGATTATTTGTGAATAAAAACCTATGAACCAATGAATTGTGAATATTAATCATGAATATTATATTCAACTTCTTACAATAGATCCTCCTAAATGTTACACACTGGACCTTTAAAAATATACCCATAAATAAATGCAAACTAAGCTTTGCTCTAATCCGAAGAGAGGTGACACCTTTTCGATATCAATGACAAAGATAAACTCTCACCATGGTGAGGCCTAGTAAAGTTGGACTGACTAGGTAGACGGGTGCAGGGATTCTGCTGCCATGACTTCTTTCCCAGAAAGAATAGAAAACATCTGCCCAGCAGATAATCCACAATAGAAAGCCAACAGCCTGTGGGGAGAAAAACAGCACACAGCTTTTTGCCTTGTAGATTCTGCTTGATGTCAAACTAACACTACAAAATTGATGCATTATTGTTAGATTGAGTGAGTGAGTCCACTTTGCAAAGTTAGACACTAAGGAAAAGGCTATTTCAGAGTATTTAGAGTATAGAGAGTATTTTCTCAGAAAAATTAAAACATACTAAACTAAAACTCAATTACAAAATGAGATATGCGACTTACATGCACACTACTACTCAAACATATTCAGGATGTGATATTTACAGGTAACATTAGTAACTCGTCATTTTTTTCGAAGATGATTAAAAGATAAAAGCAACATACATATAGTTCACATCTTATGTTATGCTAGCCAGCTAATCTACACCAATCGCTAGCTAGCTAGTTACAGTTAGTTAGATAGTGTTTTGCTTTGCTTTTCAACGTAGACGAGTCTAGCACATAGCATA